TAACATCTATTGGATGTCGGGCAGGGGGGAGGGGGAGGAGGGAGGAGGGGACGGGTATTTGTATACACAAGGAGTGCAATGCGCACTTCCGGAAGGATGGACATATTTGAAACTCGGCCTTGGGGCGGGGGGGACCAAGGGCAACATACGTAACCTAAACATCTGTACCCCCATATTATGCTGAAATAAAAGAAAAAAAAAGTTTAAAAGCACATAAAGCAAAGAAAACAGATTTGATTAACTTAGAAAAAAGTATTCAAGGCTAATTTGTTATTCTGATAAACAGCATCTAGTACATTATTTAGTATGTCCCCAAAAAGGCAACCTGTAACAGTTACAAAGTGTACTAAAGCATTCAAGCCTTTTTCAAAGCATATTACTAACATAGAGATGCAGAAAGAATGGGCACAAAATAGGTAAAAAAAAATTCTGGCCGGGCGCGGTGGCTCACACCTGTAATCCTAGCACTCTGGGAGGCCGAGGCAGGTGGATCATTTCAGCTCAGGAGTTCCAGACAAGCCTTGCAAGAGCAAGACCCTGTCTCTACTAAAAAAATACAAAGAAATTAGCTAGACAACTAAAAATATATAGAGAAAAATTAGCCAGGCATGGTCGCGCATGCCTGTAGTCCCAGCTACTCAGGAGGCTGAGGCAGGAGGATCGTTTGAGCCCAGGAGTACGAGGTTGCTGTGAGCTAGGCTGACGCCACGGCACTCTAGCCGGGGCAACACAGTGAGACTCTGTCTCAAAAAAAAAAAAAAATTCTACCAGTAACTATAGTGTAATAATTACAACACACATTGCCAGTAGAAAGACAATAATGCCAGAATGATCATTAACACTCATTTTTAAAGTGTTATTCTGCCTTCACATCATCATTACTCCTCGAAGAGTCATAAAATTGAACCTTTCTTAAAAGCCCTAAAATGACTCTGCATCATCCCAGTAAGCCACCCGTAGTCCCCAGGGGACCTCTCGGCCATCAGTCGTGGTGTTAAATACATACATATTTGCCTCAAGACTATGTTCATCTGGTCCTTAAAGTTACAGATGTAAGAATCCTGATTCCCTTGGTATAAGTTTTTCATATTAAGAAAGAAGAATTCAAAATATATGTAAAACCCTTATAAGAACTATTAGGGAGCCAACCACAGCGGTGCACATCAGTAATCCTAGCACTCTGGGAGTTTTAATTTGATAATAAAATTTATTCACTTACCAGCACAGAATATCCCTGGGACTTCACTCCTGATTATTACGGTCCGTACTTTCTTATCAGATTTTAAAGCATCCACAGCTTTTGATAGCTGAACAGAAACAGGAAGGGTAAGGAGGAAAAAGAGAAAAAATCATTTTCAGACTGATGTCAAGACTGTATCTCAATAGTAGAAGTAAACAGTTTAATCTTTACACTCACCATCTTTATAAGATTTTTACTGAGTGAATTTTTGCCATAAGCTCTGTCTATTCCAAGAACCACAATTCCTAGTTGGGGGTAGGGGGGAGCAGAGGAAAAAGCACAAGCACTTATGTTAGTGAGATATTCAGAGAACAGACTCCACAACACACGTCTCGCTAACTTGGAACTTAAATCTACTGCCTTGTTGAGGTTCACTGCAAGAACTGTACCCTTATTCTCATGTTTAGCTTCCTTTTCAAGATAAGCACATTTTTAAAGAATATGGTATTTATAACATTTATAAAGTTAACCTAGTGCTTAATATCCATTGCTTTTCTTCAGCCTTTTTAGGGGAAAAGAACCCCATGACCTCAGGTTCCCTTCAAGTTATCTCTTCTTAAGCACCACCAAGGTAATTTACAACATTTTGGTAAATTTTACACCACTAAATCAGACGAACCAAAGGGAAGGCCACATACTTATTAGTAAAAATTATGAATTACAAAATACTATTTAAAGGCTGGTTTCGTTATCTTCAAGTATATACAGAATAGCTAACGAAACTTGTCACATGCAAGTATTGTGTCTTCTGCTTTTTGCTACTATTGCGGCTGTTAACATCTCACTTATTCCTTTGTCATACTACATAGTTTTCCATCCCAGGCTTCTCTCCTGACTTCTATCCCAATCACCTAACCTGAGGGCACTTCCATTTAGAAGTCCAACAAGTAATTCCAACTCAATCAATATAAAATAAAGTTCATTATCTCTCCCACAAAACCCAGTTCTCCCTCCTCACTGCCCCGTTTTATCACAGACCATCACCTAAGCCCAGCCTCCCATTCCAATTGCCAACAATTTCCAATTGAAAACAATTTTCTACACACAGAATTCACCCCTACTTAAAATCCTTTAATTATTCATTTCAAAATATCTGAATTCAAGACCTTGATTTGATATTCAAAGTTCTATAGAGCTTATACTCATAATCTTGTTCCCTGAGTAAACACAAATTTTCATTGTATCATGTATTAGGAATGCCTTCCACTGGGTTGGAAGTGGGTATGGTTCTCATTTGTAATTGGGTTAAACTGAAGACAACAAAATGTACACATGCCTTCTCAGTGCAAGAAACTGTGCAAGCCCATTTTAAAAGAAGGCACAAAGATGAACTTCAGCTTACAGAAGAATAAATGTGCAAGAATGCCAAATGCTCTCGATATGGAGAAAAGCATGAAAGAGCACTTGGTATCTGACAGGCTCCACATAAAGTAGCCAAATGACCTTGGATGGGTCCCAAATACTAATGACAACAGCTACCACGACTGAGCCCTTTAGTGTGCCTCAGGCACTGCTGCTGGTGGCTTATGTGTGTTAGTTCATGTCACCGTCAGAATCACCCAAGAAGTCCACATTATTTTTATCCTCAGTTAACAGATAAACTGAATTTGGAGAGATGAAGTAACTACTTTCAGCTGGTAAGTGGCAATCTAACCCCACGCTTGGAGAGAACTGTGCTACACTGTTCAAGCTTCAGTTTCCTCATGAAGAAAATCAGGGAGCAAAGACTAGATGTGCTCGCTCATTCAAACATATGGTGTACACACTATGGTGCTCAGCCCTCAAGGAACTAGAGTCTAAGAAGGAAAGACAAACATTAATAATTATAAAAAGGTGCAATTTAAAATGCTTTTTAAATGGTACTACAGTAACTTGTAACCAGAATTGATATGGTCTGGGGGCAAGGGAAGTTGGTTGGAGAAAGCTTACGCAAGACAGTGTTATTTCAGATGAGACTGTAAGGATGAGCAGGAGTTAAGGTGGAAATGTGAGGGGGCTGAATTCCAGGCAGAGGAAACATGGGAGAAAGCATAAATCAGTCATGGTCCCACTGAAGGTCCTGTCACCCAGGAGGAGGAGAAAAGTGACCAATGAGAGTGGCAGGTCAACACAGGCCAGAGAGAATGGCGTTACAGGCCCTGCTAAAAAGTGTGGTCTTTATCCTAAGAATAGGAGTAACTGCTTAAGGAGTTTAAGTAGGTATAAACACACACATAAGAAAACAGGGAGGGAGGGGACAGTTTCTGTACTTGGAGATCACACCAGAAGTGGATAGGGGTGCAGACTTCAAGGGGGCTGTAGTCCAGTCAGGAGATACTAGGTGTGGCTGAGACTGGCAGTGGTAGAAATAAAGGACAGGGAAAGGACTCAAGAGCTATTCAAAATCTAAAATGAGTTAGTGATGACTAGATTGAGAATTGATTGAACTAGAAGGAGGTGTTAAGGAATATCTGCCAGGTTTCTGGCTTCAGCAATTGGATGGAAAGAGATTGACATTTAACGAGACAAAGCCATTAAAAAACACCAAGGTGAGGGTGGAGGGAGGTAAAGCTCATGATTGCCATCTTTAACTACAGTGAATCTGAAGTACCTTTGAGATATCCAAGTTGGTATCAACTCTCAGGGTAGAAGCTAAGAATGTAGGCTTGAAGTCCGACTGCTGGTGTAGAAATCCCAGTGGCCACTTACTAGCTATTTGACCTTGGGTAAGTTACTTAACCTGTCTGATCCTCAGTTTCTTACTCTCTTAAGATACTAACAGTTCCAAACTCTCCAGGACTGGGTAAGGATCAAATAATGTAATACATATTAAGTTTACAATTCAAGTACCCAACTGTTATCATCCCTTCTATTATAGCATGAATACTTCTGATGCAGTAAATACTGAATATTACCATAATTTCTGCTACATATGATACTTCTGACATCATTACTGAAGTTTAAAGTGCCATCAAAATGCTTCCACCAGCACTTTTGGTCCCATATTTGAGGTCTCATGTTTTGGGTACTTCCACCTCAAAGAGGTGGAAATTAGCTCTGCAATCTAAAATGAGTCATCCAATACCTAACAAATGCACCATCAAATGTGTAAGTAGGCTTCTGATATTGCAAAATGGAATAAAACAGCTTTATTCAGCAAAACCTAAAATTTCTTGTTTTGTAATTCTCCCATTTTATGTCACAATTCAACAGCTTCTCAAGAACTCAAATTATCATGCACCCCCTCACATAGCCTTGACAAAACAAGTTTATCCAAACTCAGAAAAGCTTAAGCATTCAAATGCCAACCTTGAATTCCTATTTTAATTCTAGACTTTTCCTGCCTTTTTACAAAACACATAAAAATCTTTGGTGTGTAACAAGTTCACAATGCAACATTAACCCTGCTCTATAAAGTTTATACAACTGAAAGATGAATGTAGCAACTTTGGCTAAAACTTAAAACAGAACAAAAAATGAATACATTTTGCTTGTATAAAATTGAAATTATACACCCAAAGTTACAAATTCTCCTCCCTGGACCCATCTCATCCCATTCCCCAGACACAGCCATAGTTATCTGTAGATATGTAACCTCCAAGAAAATGTTTCATATATATTTACATATGGAAGTAGAGTTATATACTACCAGTTTGGATTGTTGCTACTTTACATAAATAAATCACATTTTCTTCTGGTGCTGTTCTCCATAAATAGGTTCATACACTTTTTTTTTAATTCAGTCTTAAACATCATTCTATATCAAAATAAACAAAAACTGAGGGAATTTGTTGCCAGTAGGCCTGTCCTACAAGAACTGTTAGAAGATATTCTTTAGGAAGAAGGGAAATTAAGTAGATCCGTAACTCAGATCTACATAAAGAAAGGAAGAGCTTCTGAGGACTCAGTGAAGGTAAAATAAAAACTTTTATTTTTCTTACTCTTAATTGCTCTAACATATAACAATTTGTTCAAAATAATAATAGGAACAATGCATTCAATTATGTGTGTTTACATACAAGTGAAATGGAGGAAGGAATTAGAAATATTTTGTTATTATAAGGTACTCACACTACCCTGAAATGGGATAGTGTTATTTGAAAGTAGATTTGGATTAGCTGTAAATGCATACTATAAACTCTAGGGCAACCACTAAAAAGGGTAAAAAAAAGAAATGCAGCTGATATGCCACTAAAAGAGAAAATTGAAATCATGTAAAGTGTTCAATTAAAATCGCAAAAGGCAGAGAAAGAGTGCAAGACAAAAACAGGAAAAAAGAACAAGGGCAACAGATAAATAACAGTAAAAAATATGTGAGATACTAACCCGACCATATTCAATGTGAATGAATATTAGCCATAACCATCTGAATCAACAACACTTTGAACGTCAATGAAGACAGAGATTGCCACAGTGGATCAAGAAACAAAGACCCAACTATATGTTGTCTACAAAAAAACTCTGTGTCAGTGGAAAAAAACAAAACAAAACACAAACTGAAGGAGTTTGGAGTTTTTTCCTTTTCCCTCACTCAACAACAATCAACACACAAGACTTAAGTGACCAAATGTCGGGGGTTTCTCCCTACCAACAACAAGCGATCAATTCTGCAGCAGACACTGGCTGGGTGTCCTCTAATTCAATTCTGACACTACCTAACTGGAAATAGTGTCAGCTCCCACAGGAGGGCTCATTCCTCAAAGCTTCCTCCTCCTCTGCTTCCCACCTCCACCCCACCAGTCCCCAAGGCCAGGCTTCCAGAACTTCTTACCAATTAGCTTCAAACTGGGTTTCCCATGTCCCCCTTTTGAGTTTGATTAATCTGCTGGAGCAGCTCACAGAACTCAGGGAAACACATATTCTGGTTTATTATAAAGGATAATTACAAAGGATACAGATGAAGAGATGCATAGGACGAGCTATGGGGAAGGGGAATGAAGCTTCCTCTCTTGGCATGCCACCCTCCAGGAACCTCCACATGCTCAACTTTCCAGAAGCAGCTCTCCAAACCCTGTCCTTTCGGGTTTTTATGGAGGCTTCATTATACAGGCATGATTGATTAAACCACTGACCACTGGTGATCAACTTAACCTTCAGGCCCTCTCCCTTCCCTGGACATTGCGGGGTAGGGCTGGATGTCCCAACCCTCTAATCCTGTGTTGGTCTTTCTGGGGACCAGTCCCCACTCTGAAAATACCTAGGGGCTGCCAGTCATCAGTTAATCAGTAGCATACAAAAAGACAACACTTTAGAGATTCTGAGGACT